ACCCCAAGCCCATCATGTGTTGACAGATGGTTGTTAGCGCCCACGCCGTCTTGCGGTATAGATGACACGGCCATTGGCCTTGATACCGTCTGGTCCGTGAATCCTACGCGATCGATCGTCTCCGATGTCGAGTACAGCAACTGCCAGCTCTACGGAACGGCTACTTATAGTCCTGGGATATGTCCTAGCGGCCAAACAATTGCAGAAGTAACCGCGTACGCAAGTAGTGCATTGAATGGAACCAAACTATTCTGGCAAGCGAGCTGTTGCAAAAGGTTTGACACTATTGCTCTCTGTCTGTCAATATCTGTTTAGCTGACATGGGACGAATAGCGATATGACCTTTGGCCCGGAGTACCCAGATCTTTGCCTAAGCCGCTTTTCGACCCCCGTCAGTGCTTACGCTGCGATCATAACGGAACCCGCCTTTGAAGGCCAGGATATCACTCCGGTCTGGGAATATACATCTAACTACGGTTCTGACGGGACAACTGTGATCTCCAGTATCACAACGATTGCAACAGGCCTAGCGGTTGCTGATCCTGTCGTAGTCGCCTGGCAGATTGACGACATCGAAACCTTCCCGAGTGAATACGTCAAGTCGTTAGTTGCGAGGTATAGCATACCTGCTCCAGCCAGTACGTCTACACCAACAAACAACGCTCTAGAGCCAACGGCCGCACCCGCATCCGATGGTCTTAGCACTGGCACACAAGTAGGGATTGGGGTAGGGGTAGCACTTGCTGCTGCTCTTGCTGGAGGCCTGTTGATCTTCTGGTGTCTGAGACGTCGTCGAAAAGCTAGTACGACCGAGGAGCCGGATGTCGTGATACCAGAGATGGAAGATCAAGACCACACCCATACCGAGCGCAAGTGGTACTTTGGCGGGCGATGGAGGAGTGAGATTGATACTCAAGCGACTCAGAACGAACTTGACTCGAAGGCGGTGCATGTTGTCCCTGGACCACCGGCTGAACTGGAAGCACACGAGCCTGCGGTTGAAGGTGCCAAGATTGCAGGAAACGATGACGGCAGGGTATAACTGTATACAATACGCGACAGAAGCAGACCTGGAGCAGATCTTTTTGGCTTTATCCACTTCCAGGAAACCGGAACACGGCAACAAAGATTACATGATGAGTTCTTTTCTTTTGGCTCGATAATGCTGCGCAGTCATTACTGCACAAGCGCAGTTGAGCCTTTCTCTTACGTCCTCAGCCGACCGGTATGGTCTCTCATATGCTTTGGACGCGATATCGCGACTACTGCCACAGCAGCCTTTTGGTCTCCTTGATGGCTTAATGGAATTCCAATAGCAATGTTCAGTCTGTGAGGAAGAGAATGCACTAATATCCGCCTTGGTTCACCTAATCTCCGTTTCGGTCTCGCGAATCACGGTGAAACAAGCTTCTATGAGCAGGGAGCGTTTCATAAATCCTTCATCTTCAAGCCGCCCGCACTAGCCTTGAACAAGCAGAAAGCGGGTCTAACTAAGGCTCGGTGTGGCTTAGCGTCTCCGTCGCGAACGTTTCACACCGGACTTTCCATCACCAAACGGCTGTCATGCCATCTGGCGTCCTGTCAAAACCGTTCATGCCTGCAGATGCCGCTTGCGCGATACTCAATGTAGTTGCGCACGTTTCCTGGATATTAGCCATGCGATGCGTTCGCGCTGTCTAGAAGCCAAACTAGGCTTTGGAGGAGCATGCGCCGAGTCAAGTGGAATTCTTATATTATCTGCTGGGCCTCGTCGTGCTTTTCAGTTCGTGTTGTTCCATCGCTCACTACTGTCATTCATTCTTCGTGTTCGTAGTATCTTCCTTCATTTTCATCAACTTACAGCTGGTCTCTGTTCCTTACCTTCCAAACACATACTTCAAGATGTTCGCCAAAACTACTCTCATGAGCGCGCTGCTCAGCGCTGCATCTGCTGGTAAGCTTTTTTCTATCTTCCCTACGAGAGCAGCTACTGATCATTACTCCAGAAATCATCTGGGATGGCCGCTTCAACGACATGACCTCCTCTTCCGAGCTCTCCGACTGGTCCTTCTCCAACCCCGTCGGCAGCTACCAATACTACATCCACGGCTCCGGTCCCGTCACCGACTACGTAAACCTCGATGCCACCTACAAGAACCCCGCCGACACAGCGTCGAAGCAAGGTGTAAAGATCACCATCGACGAGACCGCGAAGTGGAACGGCCAGACCATGCTGCGCACCGAACTCATCCCCCAGACCAAGGCTGCCATCAACAAGGGCAAGGTCTACTACCACTTCTCCGTCAAGACCACGGCTGAGAACGCCCCTACTGCCACCAACGAGCATCAGGTTGCTTTCTTTGAGAGCCACTTCACTGAGCTGAAGTACGGTGCGTCTGGATCTTCCAACACCAACTTGCAATGGCACGTTGGTGGCGTCTCCAAGTGGGACGTTGAGCTCGTCGCCGACGAGTGGCACAACGTTGCTTACGAGATTGACTTCGATGCTGGTTCCGTCTCGTTCTGGCACTCCACCGGTGCTGATGAGTTGAAGCAGACCGCTGGTCCATTCGACGCGAGCACCCAATCCAACGGTGCTGACTGGCATCTTGGTGTCCTAAGGCTTCCAGGTAACGCCGACAAGGACGGCGCTGAGGATTGGTTCTTCAGCGGTGTATACATCGAGGATGGTGAGCTCACTACCAAGGTTGGCAGTGGAGCTGCCGGCGCGGCCCCGGAGAAGCCTGCTGCCAGTGCCGCCGCACCTTCCAAGGTCGCTTCCTCTGCTGCCCCTGCTGCTACTTCTTCCAAGGCTGCTGTTGCTCCGGTCTCTTCTAGCGCCGCCGCTGTCGAGACCCCTGCTGCCTCTTCCAGCGCTGCCGCTGTCGAGACTCCCGTTGCTTCTTCCACTGCTGCCGCTTCTTCCGTTGCTGCTCCCGTCGAGACTCCGGCTGCTTCCTCTTCCGCCGCCGCTATCTCTAGCGCCGCTCCCGTTGAGACTCCCGCCGCTTCTTCGACCTCTGCTGCCGCTCCCGTCGCTACTCCTACTGCTGGAGCCGGCTCTGACGCCAAGCTCCCTGAGGAGTTCACCATCAGCCAGTTCGTCGCTTGGCTCAAGGCCAAGACTGGCAAGAACTAAGCAGACGCCATGTGCACGCTCCGCTTTGAGTAGTCAGCCAGTTGGCACCTTACAAATTCTTGTAGATATCTTTCTTCTTCGCTAGCTATTGCAATACATTGTTCGCAATTCTTATCTCATACTCTGCTGCTGAAAATGATGGTTATCGATACTCGAGCTTTTGGGCTCGTCTCCACTGCAAGGTCTGTCGACAAGAGCCTTCATAAACCATTATCCAAGCTTACTTCCCCTGTTAGAAACCCTTGGTCACCTTGATTCTCTTTATTCCCTGTCGATGTACTATTTTATTACCCTTGGCGAATACAGTGTCCGAATGCGAATGCGATCGTACCTAAACCCATCGCAAAGACAATACCGAGACCTACACCTCCCTATATGAAACCTCAGAATACGGAGAGGCCGAATCCGCGCCGTATATCTTACTGAAGGATAGAAGACAAAGCCTAGACTCCAGCTTATGCGGAATGCTTTGACCCGCGCAATGCGACGTCCATGTAGAATTTTTCCGAACTGTGCATATCTGCAGGAGGCTGACAAGAATTCGTAAGATAGCGGTTTCAAGGTGTTGATTCCGTCGGAAGAGCGGTGGAGAAAAGATTACTGATTCCAGCCCTCGACTGTTGAGACTGCGCCGGCAGTTGCTACTGAGAGGCTTCCAAGGTCTTGTCGCACTGCAAGCATCGGATTGGTGTAAAGGATTTAGCCGTGCTGATATGCGGCCGACTCTATTCCTTGAGAGCGGTCTGCATTTGGTTCTGGGATTATGTCTAGATATAGACACTGACGGTCTGCTAGGCCTCGAACGATGTTCGGCGCTCCCGAGATCGCTTGGTGAAAGAAGACGAATCTCGGTGACATCTTATCCCGAGGTATTCCTCAGTTGTTCTCTTGGCAACGAACCATCGAGTTTTACAATTCGACACAAGAATCTGCGAAGTAAGCACCGATCTCCCGGGTTGATGCTGGGGTACTTGATGAGACACGCACCGTGCGAGGCGGCGCACTAGATGACTAAGAAGGTCCGATTGATCCGGTAACAGCCAAGTCCGGGGAAGCAGTGATGCAAAAGATCTGTGGTAGATTCATCTCTGCAACAGTACAGCATCAAAATTTACCGTCTTCCTACCTGAGACTGAAAGTGACGTACGGTCAAATATGACATCATCCGCGACCGTTACCTGTGAGGCGTTTGCCGAAAGCTTGCTAAACATAGTGTTACCGAACGCGGTCGAACCTCGACGTCGGCCAAATCTTAAAAACCCCAGATCCCAGTACCGTCAGCCTTAGCACTCGCGATACAGAGCCTCACCTCACAAATCTTAAAAGGGAATTATATTCCCAGAATAAGACCGTATCCGCATACGTAAGGCAGGGTACGCAGAGACCTTCTACAAGGACATCAACGAATGGAAGGTATTCGATCGAGAAATCCACGCTATGGACCCAAGCACGGATATAATGCAAGCATCTTCAGAGGGCCCGTGACGGTCATCTGCCGCGTAGTCCAGACTCTCAGACCCTACACTCAACACTACAGAGATTCGCCGTCCGGGGTAGCACAGGAAAGACCAAGACTTGACCTCCGGTCAGTGTCAGAACTGCAAACTTCCGAATCGTATCAGAGATGCAGCTTCAGAGCAGCCGCCAGCATCCGAGACCAGAGCAATGATGGTAGAGATGTGTATATAAGTCCAGCAGACAGATGCCATTGAGATGGATCAACCACGAAGAAACCATCTCTTTCAAACTCTTCGCACTCTGAAATCTTCCCGGCTACTTCTATCCGTGATAGTGAGTATACAAGAGCATCTTTCCAAATCATCTGGAGTGACCATTATCGTCCTCTTTTTCTCCTCTCAATATACATCACGAAATATTCACAATGTCTGCCCGCACCATGATACGGCGACCAGCAACGGTCCGCACCCTCTCCCACGCATCCACACGCACTGTAGCACTCCGCCGCCTAGCAACAATGGCCGACACTAAAATTGGCACTATGCCCCCGGGTCACAAAGCCACAGTCGGCCACCTCCAGACCTTCGAACTACCTGAATCACTAAGCGGAAGTGCCTCCGACAAAGCGTTAGGCAAGAGCATGATCGACGCATGGAAGCGCGACGGCATACTGCAAATCTCCATGGACCCCATCAACCGTAAGCTCGCCGACGCCGCTTTCCTGACGAGCAAGAAATTCTTTGCTCTCGACCACAAGAAGAAGGCTGCTTGTCTCGATGATCAGAGTTTCGCGGGCTATATCGCTTCTGGTGAGGAGATTACGGACAACATCGCTGACTACAGTGAGATCTTCACTGTTACAAAAGATCTCGCACCGTCTGATCCCCGGGTTCAACAGAAGTGGCCATGCCATGGACCGTGCCCCTGGCCGTTCACGCAGATGAAAACTATCATGCAAGCGTACATGGATTACCTCGGCGAGAGTGGCGAGAAGATGTTGCAACTCATCGCTTGGGGCCTTGGTCTCAAGGACGGAAATGCTTTGACAAGGTACACGCAAGATGGCTGGCACCACATGCGCGTCCTGCGCTTCCCTCAGGACACTAAAGTCAACGGCAAGGGTAAGGCAGGTCGTGGTATCGGGTCGCACACTGACTACGGTCTTCTTGTCATTGCCGCGCAGGACGATGTAGGCGGTCTTTTCATCCGCCCTCCCATCGAAGGCGAGACGTACGCAAACTGGAAAGAGACAGCCGCTGGAAAGAACGAGGATGCCGATGGCTGGGTCTACGTCCCACCTGTCCCTGATGTCTTCACTGTTTTCCCGGGCGATATGATGCAGTACATCACCAACTCTTTCTTACCCTCTACTCCCCACAAAGTTGGCCTCAACACACGCGAGCGTTTCGCTTTCGCCTACTTCCACGAGCCCAACTTCTCGGCTGTCATGAAGCCTTTGCCTGGATTCGAGGCAGGCCAGGAGCCTACTGAGGGTATTCACTATGGCACCCATTTCACCAACATGTTCATGCGCAACTACCCGGAGAGAATCACCGCTGATAGAATGAGGGCTGAGGGCAGGATGGCGTTGTTGGACTCACCCAACCTAAGGTGGAAAGACACACCCGCCATGGGCCCGCAGGATGTGGATGTGGACAGCACTTTCCCCGCGGTTCAGTCTATGAGCGAGAAGAGAACATCTGCATGACGATCATCTATGGAGGCTTTCTCTTTTCCTCGAGCATTTTACTTTTAGCGCTTCAATTAGCATAACGGCGTTATAGATCTGTGGTGTAGCTGCTGTCAGAACTCAATATTCACTATTTTCGTCTCAAATCATCCTGTCGAATGTCGTAGTCAATGAAACCGTCTTGGCCATCTAGACCGACATACTGTAAACTTGTATCGCGCAATGTCGAGTATGCTTCGATCCAGTAGACAAAGAGAAGATTATCCAACACCTTTTTAGCACAGTGTAAAATCTGGCTGGTGTAGTAGCCGAAGCACTTGACTATCCTGTTAGATGGCCGACTGTGGGCAGGTTTGCTGAATCTGAAATCACACTAGCCGGGTTGATTCGATTGGGGAACGAGATCCGAGGTGTGTATGCTCATAGTACCTTTCCAGTATGAACCAACAGCCTCTAGGCCCCTTCCAAGTTGAGAAGGTTTCTTCCAAGGATCTGACGGCGGGGAAATTCAGAGCTTCGTAGTATCCTGTAGTATCTCATTCATCGATTCCGTCAGACTGGTCAGACGTGACGTCGAAGATGGTTACTACATTCTCTTTGAAAGGTGTCTATTAAGTCTTATGAAATTCTTCTCACGAGTGGGGAGATAACCTCCCAGAGTGTCGATTTACTTCTGCTAGAGATTATCTGGTTTCTTTTTGAACGGGAAAGCCATGAACATAGGAGCCCATTTCGATATTTTTATCAATATCAGCCCTGCTTGACAAGCACTTTTTTCGTTTACATCATAAGAGAGGCACTAAAAATACCAAAATCGAACATAACCCAGATCGAAACACCATCGAATTGATGCTGCTTTGCCACAAAGACCACAACATTAATGAGAATCTCCCAAGAACGAAGACCACGTGAATAAGCGCTTCTTAGGTGGGTCGGCTCAAGTCTCCATAGAAGAGGTCGAATCGGAAATTCATGAGTTTGGTGAATGTTATGGCAGTCATGCGCCTACGTCATGGTAGTTGTGCGATGCGTGAATGACCAAAGCAACCCTTTATCCTTTGTCCAAATCTTTCCCTGTTACATCTTCACACTGGTAAATTTGTTTAACCTGCCCAGTTGAATTTGCGAATGGTGCCATCGTGTTCTTCTCACCACGCCCTCCATTTCGGTCGCAACCATGTTGAGCATAGTAGCTGGCAAAAGGAACAAGCCGCGCACCAGCGCCAAAACCACTATCCCCACCATGGACATTCAGCAACACTTCGCAAAGCCTAGGGCCGATCGAGAGAACATCGCACACCGCCAGCGATCATCTGAACAAGCGCACATTAGACGCTTTCAGAAAAGGTTGGCCCATCAGGACAGAACCAGCCGCATCGAGAACCAACTTCCGAGCCACTGGACTCGGGGAGACAAGGTCAGTATCAAGATGAGCATGGAAGAAGACTCGGTGGCTGACAAGACACAGAAGCAGGTGGCTGCCCGTATCACCGTCGCAAACAAGAAGGTTCAACGAACAGTGTTGGTCGCAAACGCGGAAGACAACTCGGATGTCACAACCAAAATGACATCCAACTCCTCCAGCAATCGCGACAAGTCGAGCCCTGAGCCCGAAAGCGACAAGCGCAGCTCAAGTTCCGAGACTGACCAGACCTCGCACTGTGAAAGCGACGGTGGCAAGACAGCACTGAAGCTCAGCAAGGTCTTGATGCTACTGAATGGCGAGCATGTGAAGCTACAAGACGAACTTGGCAGTGTGAAGCACCAGTTGAGCGAGGAACACTCTCGGTACGAGTCACTCGAGCAGAAATACACCGAGCAGCGCAGTCAGCGCGTGAACGACAAGCACTTGGTGGACCACTGGGCCCAGGAAGCTGCTGATGCGAGATTTGACTGCGAAGAAGTTGAAGGCGCAAAGCAAGTCCTAAAAGATCGTCTCGCCGACGCGAAAGAACAGCATCGAATCGATCTCGAAGCAAAAGACCGCGAGATCGAGACGTTAAAGGCTATGCATGATCTCAATGTCGCGGCCAAGGACGTGGAAATTGAGAAGTGGCACCAAGCCTGTATGCAGAAGGACTCCACGTTCCAGAAAATGGTGACAAAGCTAGTTAGCGAGCGTGACGAGACTCGGGCCAAGGCCATCCGTGAAAAGGGAAAGATTTGGGCAACCAGTAGGAACAAGACTGATGACCTGAAAGAGAAGCTTGAGGCATTGAAGACGAAATACGATCGGATGTCCGCTGATTGTGTTGATGCTACTACCAAGAACAAGGAGACTATCGTCAATCTTGTCACTCGAAACCAGCAATTGGAGTTGGAGCATGGAACCATGTGTCGAATGCTACAACAAACTTGCACGCAAGGGTCCGAGCTACATCAGCTCAACCAAATCATCGAGGCGAGCACCGCGAGCAGAGAAGAGGCCAAGGAGCTCCGAACGATGGTGAAACGGCTGGAACAGTACAATGAGAATCTTCTCGATACGCTGCAGAACATCCAGAATGAGTGCAAACGTCACCGAGAATCCGAGCAGGATATGCGAGCTGCGTCAAAACGCGCCCATGATACTGTCCAGCTCTTGGAAGACAAGCTGGCGCTCACTAAAATTCAACTTCGCGATGCGGCGAATCAGCTCGAGAAGATACAGCAAGGTGCTGTTCCAGCGGGTGCGCATTGCGCGGCGCTTGATGCACTTGAGCAAGAGAATGAACACCTGCGAGAGTCACTTCAAGCCGAGCGAAATGACAAAGCTGAGATGCAAGGCAAGCTAGATAAGCTTGACAGCGAGAATCTCAACCTGTCCATCGAGTACGATAGCATTGACGCCGAGCTGATCCAGAGTAAAAGGTCCAGCAGTACGCTTCACGATAGCATGAAGGCAGCGATGCACGAGCTGAACATGCTCCGGAAAGTGGTCCAGGGCCAGCAAGGTGCTCTCGGTGAACAAGATCATAGTGAACTGCTGAGACTAGTGAGCAGAACCACGGAAGAAAATAAGAGCCTCGTCGAATCGAACGCTAGGATGGAGGCAAAGGTGCAGGAGGTCGAACAGTATGGCGCGACCATTGAAGACAAGTCTGAGAGCGAGGTGATGAAGGCTAAGGACTTGAGTGACTACTGGTGGCATCTCTACCATAACGAGGCTGTCCCGACTACAGAACGCTTACACGCCGAGATTGCCGCCCTCAAAGCAGAAAAGGGTGAGCAGCACTTTGTTGAGCCAGCTCCACCTATGAATCCGGTCGTTTTCGACCGGAAGATGTTGCCGTGCGCTGCCATGAACGGTCTTGCAGGCGTTCCGGCTCATTTGATCACTTCGGCTGTGTGCGATGCTGAGGGCGTTACACATCTCTCGGCGACCATAGAAGCTTTGCAAACGCTACGACCTCAAGGTTGGCAACCCGTAGTCGTTGCGGGCAAAGTCTGGCTATCGAAGATAGTGAAGCCATTGGTGGAGGATGATGCCGTGATGCAGATCCAGATTGGCCATCACAACGGAGATCTGAGTAGCACAGGCCCTGGACAATTCTCGATGAGCGACACGTACAGGTCACGCAACACTCAGATTCCTACCAACTCCATGGTATACAACGGCCTGTCGGCGCATCGTTTGAAACTGCTGGCACTGTTTCTGACGAACACTTCGAGCAAACAAGCGCAAGATCCTGTCATTCCGAAGCGCGGCAACCAAGTTGCTGCTAGACGCGAAGCAAGGCGGCCGACTACAAAGCAAGCGCTAAAGTCAAAGCCTCAAGCGGCATACCGGACTGCGCAGGCTTCCACCATGGACAAATCACGAGTTCCTGAGTGGCGAGCATCGTGGCTGAAGATTGATAGCAGGATGACACGTGAAGCGTGGGAAGATGAAGACCTTGACGACGATTTCAAAGTCAACTGGGTCAGACTCTACGTCACGAAGAAAGATGATTAAACCACTGGAGACGCGGCTTGTTGCACTCAACAGATAGTCTTCATTGTTTGGATGCGACGAAGACAGATGGAGTAACTAATGGGTGGCGATGCGGTGCGATGAAGTAACCTGGACCGCCGCATGAGGCAGCAACTGCGCGTCCGTAGTATGCAAAGTATATGTACAAGGTAACAGCTGTGAATGAGTAGAGGTACACAGAGATGCGCGAAATTTGGGAGACACCTATGGTAGAATGGGATTGTGAATGGCCAGGGAAGGATGACGGGCAAGGTGGCATTCACGGGGGATGTTTCTGCCCGCCCATGTTCGCGCTAGATCCTTCGGGTAGGACCTGACAATCCGGGAATGACACACATGTTGACTGGCGTTTGACATGTCAACGCTGTTTCGTCTCTTAGAGCCAACATTGCTATTTATCAGGCAATATCATCAATATGGACCAGCCGTATTTCCTGGCCCTGTGCATGAATGATGGCTTTGCTATATGAGCCTGCCACAGTCTTCACCCACGACCCCACACATCCGATCGACAAAATTCTCACATATATGCTAATGCCATATATCACAACGACGCAGTGGAAGCTATGTCGGAGTTGCGAGGCATCATCCAAAATCTTTCTATCAATTAATCGTTATGTAGCCTCGCTCGAGCTAATCGGCACATGCCGTGATATACGACCTTATCGGTCTCTCTCACCAAGAGGCCTCACCGCCGCTTCTGCGACTAAATTGCGGAGGTGCGACAGCAAACGGGCACATATAAAACGCGATCTTCAGCGCGTCCTTCACTCTACTTTTTTCCGGGTAGGTGAACGCTACCTTGCTAAGAGCGCGAATTCTTGAAGTGACGATGTTGATCTCACTTTTAACAAGAGTATCGGTCACTGAGGTGCGATTGTACTCAGCATCTCCAGATTCATACATAAGTATGCTATCATGCTCAATTTTGTTTTCCCTTGGTTTCGGTTTTGGACGCCATCCGGAGGTATGCTGCGCCGCTGTATTTTCGCCGCTCGCCGTGCTTGTATCGTCACCCATTCACCTACCTTCACCTACCCACCCGCATCGCCGCGATCAGGCCAACAGACACCCGAAGTCACGGTGACGTAGCTTGTTGAAATATTCATCGCCTAGCGTATGCTTTGGCATTGTCGCGTTATTGAGCCTTTTCCAGGCCAGTCAGGTCCGCCTGCGCCACAAAGTGAAGGTGACCTGAAACACGATTTCCCTACCCAACCACCCTTTCTACGCAAAGCAATGATACGCCATGGCGACAAATCAGGAATCTGGAGAGGCTGGGCCAATTGCGTCCCGCCGCTGCCTTTCGCGCTGCCAAATGGGGTAGTATCGTACCCACGACCGCAACGAGCACTCCCCAAGATTGAGGAAAAAGTGAGGGATTTGACATGTTTTATACCCTATGACTGCTAATCAGCCTCTTAATGGCTTAGATAATGCCCAGCCTGCTCTTTTCAGAGCTTTCATAGTAGCTGCCGACTGCAGTATCTATCCTTTCTTCCAACAATTCACGCCACTTTCTGATCATATTCAAACAGCCCTACGACTTCTTTGATACGCTATCTCCTAACAAGTATCTCAAACTATGTCTTCCAGCCAGACTCCTGAGCACGCCTTCGATATGTTCACCGAAAGCACCTACTTCGACGAGGACATCCTCCCCTGTGCCGACGTCCCTCTCCCTTCGATTGAGTGCACCGAAGACCTCCCGGCTAACTTCTTCGACTCGGCCTTTGACATTGGTTTCGAAAATGAGAGCCTCCACTCTGATATGTCTGTTTGGCCTGCCGATGGTCTGTTGGAGTGTAGCAACAATCGTCAGGCTGATCCCGTCGATCTCACCTCCTCATCCCCCTCCTCAGGCACCATCGAGACTCTCTGGAGGCCCTTGATAGGATTAGATACTATCAATGCTGCTCTGCCAGATACTCCAACTCCCTCCCGTGCTCCCACCAAGCATCGTGCGCCTAAGGCGAAGACCTCGATGTCTGTCAAGACAACACAGAAGCCCAGGGTCACCAAAGCTAAGAAGACCACGAAGCCTGAAAAGGCTCACAAGCGCACTGTTTCAGCGCCCTCCAGCGGACCTCGTAGTGTGCAAACACTCTACACCCTACCCTGGTCACATCTTTCCCAAGAAGAGAAAGGCCTTCTCCTCCTCCCTCTTCTCCAAGGAATCGATCCAAACACGGGTGAAAGGATCGGTGAAGCTGGTAGCCTCCTTCCTCCGCCCTCTTTCGAGATGGTCACCGACGATGTTTTCGGCACCGGCGACGATGGCACCAATTTCATGGACGAGCCTTCTCCCTTGTCAACTTCAACTTCAGCTGCAAGTACTACCATCGACCTCACTGGCGATGATCTCGACCTCTCCGACAAGGATATCGCTGTTTTCCGCGCCTGCCAGGCGTTCAACATTCAGCACGAAGCGCAGAAGAAGAACGCCCTCCCCACCGTTTTAGACTTCAACTTCGACATGCCCGACTTCGAGTTTGATGAAACCAACTGGGATATCTTCGATAACTTTATGCCTGCTACCCAGGGACTTGGTGGCCCCGATAGTAACGGTGTCGTTGGCAACTCAATCCAGAAGGTTACGACTTCCAATGACAACGGCAATACCGGCCGCGTCTTGAACCTACCTGACATGATGGGCACTGGGCTTGGTCAGATGCCGATTCCTTCCGGCGACTATGGACGGAAGCGTCAGCAAGAAGCTCTTGGACGCAATGCCATGCTTCGTGCTACTGGTCGTCGTCGCTAGAGTTTTGGATGCTGTGGTGGTATTCCTTTTCATTGTTCTGTTTGGTTGACGGCGCGGTTTTGGAAAGCTGATTAGGTCAAGCTGATTGACATGACGTCCGGTTAGCTACTATGGATATGAGCGCAGCGGACGAAGAAAGATACGGACATAAAACGCTCACATTGACTCATCGTTGAGCAGCGGATGCGCTTGAGTGAAACATTGATAGAATAATATATAGACATACTCCATTCTGTCCCGTCCGGTGTTACATCATCTCCTGGGATATAACATTCAGATTTTCGATTCACCGTTTCGCCCATGCTTTTCAAACAACTCATAAGCACCCTCTTCCCACTTCGTCGTCAAGGCGGCACACTTAGGGTCACCCGGTGGCACTACCTGTCCACCGTAGATCCCACAAAGCCCCGTCTTACGATCGATCCACCAGATCAAGTTGGGATAGCCGCCCCAATGCATAGTCCCCGCTTTCCTGCCATCGGGCGCATCGGATGTAATGATTATGCCGCCAAGACTGTAGTCTTTGGTCAAATGCTTTGGGGTGTTGCCCATCGCATTATTCGCCTTAGAGTCGTTTATCAGAAAAGTCTTCTAGAGGTGAACTAGCAGGATAGAGGAGGTGGGGAAGAGAAACATACCATATCGTCCTGCATAACAGCATTCAACATCTTGCGACTCCCCTCGCTCAAATGAGGCTTGAAAAATTCTTCCAAACTCGCCTTACTCAGGATCTTCCCCTCTCCACCCTCGTCGCAAGCCAACACGCCCTTCAATACCTTGATATATTCTCCCACGCAAGTAAAACTGCCCTGGCCACCCATGCAATCGACGACTTCCTTACCCTCCCCGTCTAGATACGGCATCGGCGAATCACTATGCTTCATCTTTCCCTCTTCTGTCCTCTCGCTCATGTCTGCCATTCTAGCTTGCAGATCTGGGCGCGTGGAAGGGAAGAATGTAACATCAGTAATATCAAGTGGCCCCCACAAGTTCTTCTTCATGTATTCTTCGAGTGTAAGACCGGATATGCGCTCGACGGCTAGACCGACGTAGTCGATCCCAGGGCCGTATGTCCAGCTGGTACCGGGCTCGAACATGAGGGGGCAGGTAAACCGCTCGAGTAACTTCCCACTGCCACTAGGACGCTTCTTATGGTACTTCGACCACGCCGCCGCTAATGGGTGGCCCATGCCCTCGTACACCAGACCACTTGAATGCGTCAAAAGTTTCCGTAGCGTAATCGGTTTCTTGTGCTTCTCTTCAATTGGAGCACCCTCGTCAGTAAAGCCGGTCAGTACTTTGAACGCTTCTAGTTCGGGGATGATGCGGTAGATAGGCTCATCCAAGGTCACCTTCCCGCGCTCAACGAGTTGCATAACACTGATGGAAGTCATGAGTTTGGTGCAGGATGCTACCCACATCATGGTATTGAGATCGAAAGGTTTGGCGCGAGAAGAGTCCATGGACGTGGCGCCGAAGGCTTTAGAGTAGGTAAATGAGCCTATTGCTTGTTAAAAAATGGTGGACAAGGACTGCAAAGAGAAGAGAGCGATTACCATCGCGACTTGTAGCTGCCACAGCACAGCCAGGAATCTCTTGCGTAGCGACGGCGTCTTGGATGGCGGTTTCGAAGTCTACCATTTTTGCAACGAATATGGCTTTCAGACTGTTTGTTGGGGGATCAGTTGATTGGAAGTAGACTTCTAGTGTTTCCTTTGGTATATAAGTGCGAAAAGATACGCTAGTATTGGGACAAGCCCGAAAGACGTAGCCGATGTCAGAAAGTCAGGGATCACTATGTCAGAATTCCCACTTCAGACCTAGCACAACCGACACGGATGGAAGAAGCGGCACACTGACATAAAGAAGCTTTTATAGTAGCAGTGCCGCCTGGTATGCGCTGTCGGATTTTCGTCCGTTGTACACTACGATGGTGTACCTCGGTTCACTACGGGCGGGGCTTGAATGTTCTAGCCGTTAGTCACGACGTCGACAAGGCGGCACGGGCTCATCAACGAAGCAGCAACAAAGAAAGCATGAGAAGGACGCAATGCCATCTCTCTTGCTTTTGGGTTTTCTCTTCCCGCCAAGCCGCAAATCGCAGCTGTCGCATCACGCGCAACATCTGGACGATGTACCGCCTGTCTCAACACTTGTTGACTTTCGCGACATCGCATATTCTTTACGACAGACACATCAAATGTGGAGCGCACCCGCCAATCTAACCTCGAACTTATACTCCTTAGGCTCGCAAAACACCATTCGATTCCCCGATATCATCCTCACCGCTACCAGAATCTCAGTCGTACCTGCGTTAAAAATCAGTATCGGGCCTTCATGCGCAGGTGCTCAGTAATCTTCGCCAACATACTGATCGATAACACGAACTTTATCTGAAGTCTTGAATGCCCACAGCATGATCATGAACTCGTCCGGCAAGTTGTGAAGTTCCTTGTCCATCTTGTAGCTATCTTCGTTCCGGATGACCTCCGCCATCCCTCGTATCTGTGTTTCTGCGTCTTCTACCTCGGGCTCGGGATGGGTTTCAAAGTGCGTTGTCCATGGGCCGGGATCGAATTTATCCACAGCTTCGGCCAAGATACGGTAATCGAGCATGGTAAGGTTCTGCATCGGTTGAATGTCTAGATGTTGTTAGCAAGAGATTGACGAGCTGCGGTCATGACACTCACTACCAAGATGACAGTCCCACGTATGACCATCGTATTCTCCACAGTCCATACATGGAAGATTGTTCAAACCTTCCATATAAGTGCGCAATGACTCCGAAGCTGCCTCGGTCGCTTGCGCTCTCGATCCTTCTTTTGCGCCACTTGCGTCTGCAGAGCCTATGTTGAGCTGGCGAAGTTCTTGCTGAGAGCTGGGCTTGTTTTCGGGCAATTGCCTATGTTCGTTATCAGCAGAAGCTGGTCTGTCAGGCGGTTCTATGAGAGTATCTTCTGGTGTGAATGATTCCCCAAGCTGTGCGACTCCAGTGCGAGAAGGTGGCGAACCTGGTTGAGGCGGAATCGGGCTTCCCATGCTATCCAAGAAAGGGGCATGCAATCTTCTGGAGGGTGTCGTTGGGAAGACATGGCGAGGAGTGTCAGGGCTTGTTAGGACTTGACTGTCGTAAGCATTTTCGGTAGGAGCAGAAGGCTCGGCCGTAACAGCTACCGGACTAGAGAAGTTTTTAGCAGGAGCAGGATTGGCAGTAGTGACAGACGTGGTCGCCCCGCCACATGGCGATGCAGCGTTCTTGTTGAGTTCCAGCGGCAATTTTGGAGCTGCCACGACTGGAATCGTGTGCCCTGGTTGGGTCCCGCTCACAGCATATGGAGATCGGTATGGTGTATTCGAAGTAGCGATAGCCTTCAGATTACGAGCAGATGGATGCACCCAGTTATGCTGTGTAATACCTTGGTCTAGAGTCGACGAAGTTGGTGACGTGGACGGCTGTAAACCCCACTCCAATGCAGCGCGAGGTATCGATGGCACGTACCTACCGGCAGACGGAGCGGGTGATATGGACGTTGATACCAGTGAAGAGTTATCCCGAGGAGTGACTTGGTGGCGGCTCACCGTAGAGCTGGGAAGGCTCGAAACTGCAACTTCACGGGACAACGCGCGCGCTGCGGGAGACAGTGTTAGGTGCTCCGTAGTAGCATTGAATGGGTGTTGTAGAGACGTAGTTTTGGACGCAGGCGTCGCTCGTGCTACCTGTGATATCTCCTTACTTCGAGCTCTCGTGATTCGACCTACAGGAGGCTTTGGTGTAGCTTGTACCGGATGTTGGGGTTGTGGCGAAACCAAGGTTTCTGGGCGTGGTGTCACAGGCGAGGCAATCGGTTGATCTGGCAGTTGGCTCGCTGTATCGACGATATCTGGTCGCTGTGCTCTATACTTGGCTTCCCAGTACTGTCTCAATCTTGGCTTGGTACTGATAGGGTACAGCGGAATCTGTCCTCGCGATGATACCGGTAGACCAAGCAGCAAGCGTAGTTCATAGATGGTCTGAAGATGCTGTGATGGAGTGCCTGATAAAGCCATTCTAATATTAGGATCATTGGCTCCCCTTATCCATCGAATGAAGATCTCATCGAAGCCTTCGCTCGTGGATTCGGCAGCGCAAAGTACATCCTCCGGTGTAGTGAAGCCGCGAGCATAGGCGCGCCGGTCATCGTCGGTAGACTGAAATCTCCAATAGCCGCCTGCTAAATGTGACGTCTTTAACTGTCGTACAAAATGATCGAAACCACCGCTCGGAGTTGTCGCAATGCCAATATACGCCGTTTCGTAAGGCATCGATATTGTCGTGTCGGTATTGTCCTGTTGACGCGGCAGGAAATCGTCGCAATGATTAACGATAGTCCACCGTCGTGGTTAGAATAAAGTTGCTGGGGTTGGTCTGGGTGAAAAGCAGAAAGACGTTATTGTCAAGGTAAACACTGAGATTGCGCCAGAGTTCAAAAGGTATACGCTGGAGAAGAACTTGGAAAGCGAAAGAGCGAGCGTGACTATTTCTAGTGCAGAATGTGTTTCCATACATATACGACTGCGTGACATGTATCATCGACAATGAGATTGAGTTTTTGCCGCGTGTTTACCGTTCATGCTGTGGTGCACGTGCGAGGCAGTTGCCTGGTGAGGGTGACCAGACATCACCACACAACCATATGATTATGGATATTTACAAGAGAATTTGTACACGAAGCCTGTTAATACTAAAACATGATTGAAGAAATAATCCACCCGTTCTCTGTAATGCTTCATTGATTGGGACTGCCGCGTGAAAGCTTTCCAGAGTTCCGTTGCACAGGCATCGCCGAGGCCACGACGGAGCCAGCTATTTTACGACTTGGAGGTGATGAAACACAAGCACGGAATTATAGTGATCCATCGCGCAGGCACGTTAGATGGAGAACGGATGGAGGAGGTGAGATGAGATGAAGAGACGATGTTCTTTATCAGTGATGTGTGGTCATGACATCATAACGTCTACCTTGTCGTTCTGTCCTCTCCAACTCCTTCTTGTGAATTCCTTTCATCTAGTCTCAACCTTTGATCTTCCATGCATGACAGGATCGCGTGATGGCAAAAGATGCTCTAGTTCTCCATCAATCTGACTACAGCTGCTGAGCGTCACACAAACAACATCTTTCGCGCGCATCACCTGTACCTTCGCCTCACGCGATCATTGGCCGACTGCCGCGCCCATCGATCAACAGTTACTTCGCAACCAGGTCTACAGTTTCCATCTGCCAAACCACACCAGAATGATAGGTGTTGCCTCCGCCTCCTTACAAGTCAACACGCCCTCATCATCGCCCGTGTCGCCGTTGGGGAACGAACTGGGCCAATCGTGACCTAAGTTCTCGTACTTGTAGTGCACGACCACATCATCCCAACTATAGCGCGTAACCATTTTCCCCTCGTCCTTCTCACACAGATAACTCGTCTCGTTTGCGCTAACATCAAATCTATCGCGCCTAGCCCAGTCATCAACCCAAGTCGTTACATCAGTCGAATTAGCGTTTCCGCGCGTGTTGATGCCACCTGCGTACGGAATTGTCTTATCCTTCAACCCATGGAATTCCATAATCGGCACACGCCTACTAGGCTCGCAAGGAGGAAGATTTTGGTCTGCATCTAGGTAGAACGCACCAGACACGGGTGCAAATGCAGCGATACGTTTGGTGGCTTCTGCATCACAAGCCAATACGCCAGTGAATCCTCCGCCGTTTGATTTCCCGGTCGCGTAAATACGGGATGGGTCGATACAATAGGCGGACTGTAGGTGGTCGAGAAGTTCAAGTGTGAACGTTACGTCGTTGATTGAGGCTGGGGAGTCGGGGTCGCCTTGGTATTGCTGCGTGCCTTTTGCGTTCTGGGGATGCATTAGCTTGTCATCTCGACAATTTCCACCTCGTCGGCCAGGTTTTGAAGAGATGATTCACATACAGGTACGCCTTCGGGGTATGCGACAATCCCATCGAAACCGTAGCTTGCGTTCGAGAACTGGCTCAGGGCTTCTTGGTATTCTGCGTCTTTGCCACGGCCATGGAAGGATAGGATGAGTGGGACTTGGGTGTTGCTGTCGTATGAGGACGGAATATGTAAGCGGTACCTGCGAGGCGAGACACCGCTCGTGCTATTCAATGTCAAGTCGACGGATTGATCGAGCTTGACGCCTGATGGAAGTGGCTTTTGGCAGCCATCGTCAGAATTGGACTTTGAGTCAAGTGCAGCGGCTGCTGCGGACAGCGCCGCAAGAACAGATAAAGTTGCCTTCATTCTCGTGGCTTGATGCTTTTTCACATTATGCGGGCTTCACTTCGCACATTTATACATTTTCGAGGATGTTCAGGCGCGCCGCAACGTCACATGCGCAGGTAGTGGATAGTCCTTTCCTCACTTGGGTAAAGGGCCGTTGATCGTGGCGTACGGCCCGCATCACTAGTCTGCAAGCTTCGTGTACAGTGCCGATCCGAAGTCTAGTCAGGTCTCTGAAATAGCGAATTGCCTCGATAGTTCTCTTTTGGCAATCCTCTTCAATTTGATGGTTTTCTTCGTCTCACACCATCACCTGACATGCTATCTCGTCCACGACAGTACCTTGGATCTCAATCATGTGAGGCTCTTTCCTATATTGTTTCCCATGCCAAGTGCTGCGAACAATCTGCCATACCGTCGCCATCGTCATCGACAATGCCTTCTAGCTTCTCTGCCTATGTAGGCAATCACGGTTGACCACAGCCCCATGAGACCAGAATGTTTCATAGGATGATTCTGGACCATATACAACATGACATTACTTACAAAGTGCAACTTCAGGCGTGCGACTTCATGAGTTGATAGCCACTCTTCATATCATTACTACGCCTTTATCCTTTTAAACTCACCCCGGTGGCCGATTCCCGAAATCCTTCCCCCATCATAAGCGAGGCCTTCAGTCCAGACCTCTTCAAGCTCTCCACCGTGTTTTGCGTACCCTATCGCCTGAAATAGGCTCCGCAGCTCTCCATCAGGATGCCAATCCCCGACTACCCACTGCGGTCGACGACATGACCTGGAATCTGTATGTCGTCCCGGCTCTGCGTATTTGATACCCCAGGCTAGAGACTCCAGACTATATAGCATCTTGTCGTCGTCTTCGCCCTCGGTTTTAGACCAGTAATCAATATCGTTGCCTGTGAAATCTTTACCGGACCATTCTAAAGGGGACCATATAGCAGCTTCCTTGAGTGCCGGCATGTTTATTGCTGCCTTGGCAAAGGATTCAAGAAGTGGGGTGAGATTAGCAGTAGGGGCGACGCGAAACTGCTTATTGAATGCCGTACGCGGATCAGGAGCGTCGAGGAAGTCGTAATCCATATCCTCATCGAGCTCTGTGGGTGCATAAGGAGGATAGGAGGCACTGGTCACCGGATATCCACGTGGAACATGACCTTGCCCTGCCGGCCCTGAGAAGTACCAGGTTCCATCAGGGCGTGCGTTGTGAAACATGATGTCAAGTATTTCCAAGCGTGGCCAAGAGACATGTAACTCTGTCAAGCTTTTTGACGGTGTCAAAAGAAGAGACTCGTCGATCATCGCTCGTAGTTGCAGGTGGCGAAGATTGTTGCATAGCATACCAAGACTCGAAGTGAATGGATCGTATGTCAAGTGACCAACTAGATCAGGCAATGGTTTGCCATGATGTATATCAGTTGCACGAAGCAAAGGGCTCAGGAAATCAAGCGAGGCATGCCTTAGCGTTTTTGGTATCTTATCGAGACTGCGGATGATAGCATCTGCAAAGTCGTGTCGAGCATCTCGACGAGGTCCTGCCCAGTCGTGCTCGTAGTGCTCGATGCATGTATTCATCTCTGGATTGAACGATTCGCACCATTCGTATCCTCCAGTTCGGAAGCCCAGATATTCAAGATTAGGCATTCTGATCGCTAGATCAATGAGAACGCGCAAGTCGAGCTTGAACTCTTGTTTACCAGATCTGTCTATATGGAGATAAGGAGCGAATGATTCGTTGCCGTAGTTATTGTAGATTTCGAACGACCGAATAGACGCGACTGGAGATAGCTCGGCTTCCAGTAGCCGAACACGCCAGCTAGTTCGATAGCGATGGGGACATGCGTTTTTGGCACGTACTGTTCTGATTGGACTGTAAAGTGACAGACGATATCTGCCTGGGGCATGCTTTTCACCGGCTTGCTTCTCGACTAGTTGAAGAATGTGGAAGAGGAATTGTATCTGTCGTGTAAAAGACTCGTCCCTCTCATACACCTCATGAGCAGGCTCTCGACACAGGACTTGGTCGTCGTCGCTACTGTCATCTTCATTGTCGCGTGGACCACACAGCGTTGGGAAGGTTGGCCGGAATATCACTTCTTTCAGGTAGAGAAGCCGATGACTAGAGAAGCGCGCAAGGAAGTCGACCGAGTTGTTTTCGTTGATAGTGAATTTGGAAAAAGCTCCGCAGTGCCTCTCAGCAGCAAAGCGAAACTTGCCAGTTAGGGTAAGGACATTGCACAAGTCTCGCCTGGGTAGATAGCTGGAGATTTTATCGATGAGTTCTTGTGGGAGTCCTTCCATCATATCCTGGTTGTCTGTAAATGATGTGACGAAGATTTGTGATGATGTCTGGGGAAGATCTGTACACTCGATGACAGGTAGCGACCAGGTTGTTGTGTGGGTTTCGCAAAATTATGTCAGACAGTCAATAACCGTGTTGGAAGCGCACCTGGCAACTTTAAGACCTGAGCGGGTTTGCGGCGTAGTCACAACAACAATACTTTGTCATTATATCTGCGACTCAGGGACGCCCTGTGTGACAGATGAGGAGCACGCTAAGCCAGTATGAGACGATCCGAAGCACTCCGAGCGCTAACGCAGGGGCGAGGAACAGCCGTGTTCCTTCCTCCCCTCAGACGATAATCCCAATCGTTCTGAACACGTGAATGTCCAACGCCACACAGGTTTTCCACGCATCCCGTTGCGGCATTCACGCATCGAAAGCAGTCACTCTACCAGTTCTCTGGCTTTTGCCAGTCGTTGACCTTGTCCCACTCGTCGCTTAGTTTTTTGATAAGAGCCAGGGTTTCTTCTTGGGTCTTCTTTAGTCCTTTCTTTTTGTCCTTCTTCGCCTGATCATCGTTCGAATCGGCCTTGAACTCGTTCTTCTTCTTGTCAGAGTTCCACTCATCTTTCAAAACACCAATATTGAGTTTCATGTAATCTGTAGCTCTTTGCTTTGCCACGGAAAAGACGTTGTCCATGTAGGCATTCCATTTCTCTTCGAGTTTTTGTTCCTGCCACGGATGACCCTCTACGTCACCCTTATACACTCGGGGTGTCTTGTGCAGCTCTCGATCGATATGCCCAATCATCGCTCCCATTCTGTTCTTCTGGTCGACAAATATCTTTGAGATCTTCTTATCCTGCATGTATTTGAGAGCTCCAATCGTCTCCCGTAACCGCTGGATCGCTATGCGGGTTTGATCTCCAGGACTCAGGTTCAGATTTTTGAGATCTTTTTCCTTTGTTCGCCCCTCTATCAGTTCTTTCATCTTTTTCTTGTCGCGAATCTGTATATAAAGCCCGTTCTTAGTTCTCTTCTGGTTGAACAACTGTTGCAAGACTCTTGTTAACATGATTCACTCTACTCAGTCAACGTAAAGCGCTGTACGTACAATGCCTTTAACTCTTCCGTTGAGGTTGCTCTCCAATAATGTCATTTCATCTAGCCACATTTCCTTTCCACTTTGCCGATATGTATATTGACTTGCGAGCCAACCACGCGGAGGAAGTTTCTTCGTCTGTGGGCCAGGGGTCGCCGCTGGATCAGAAGTCGCTGCCGCATCAGGAGTGGACTTCGAATCTGGAGTGGCAGCAGGATTTGGAGTGACAACAGAATCTGGGGTTGCAGCAGGATCTGGGGTCGCAGCAGGATCGGAAGAAGGACCTTCCATGAGTGGCTCTGGGATGTCCTTGTGCACTGAACTCACTAACCAGGACTCTGTCCAGTATTCACAAAAGCTGAGCTTAGCAGTATTGCCGGGCTGAGGATGACTAAACTTGGTCGTGATCAATCCATCCATCTCATCAAAGAAGCGCCAAACAGTTTGCCATTCCAGAACGTGCTCAGTCTGATAATCAACGCTTCCATCGTCGTCTGGATTGTCGAAACTATAGTCATCGCATGAGTTTCGTTTGTTGAAGCCATATCTCGTCGGTGGGTGATCTCCCCATTCCGAAGTGCTCGGATAATTGAAACTGTTCAAAGACTGTTCGCAAGGCTTTCCTTTCTTTGGCTCACGCTTATACAGCCTATGATATGTTAGATCAATTGGATAACTTCGCCTAAGAACCTCTGGCTCCACGATCTCCTCGTCCCTGTCCAGCGTAGCGAGGTCTTGACAGGACAGGGAAGGTGTTGCTATCGAAGACATAGATGAAGAAGAGGAGATGATTGACGACACAGCCGCGGTAGACAGCAGGGAACCAGACGAAGTCTTCGACACAATTGTAGTGACCTGCGGGGGAACTGTACTGCCAGTGGTCGGAGCAGGTTGGATGTTAGTTTTGGAAGCATCGCCGCCTTCGTTGCCGCTTCCATTCGTGCATTTTGGGCCTTTGCAGCCCTTACAACCTCTTTTGGGACACGGTAGGTCTTCGTAATTCATCCCTCCTGGTACAAGCTCGTCTGGTGCATCGACCAGGGGTGTGAAAGCCTTCTTTATCAGATTGTTCTTGGTAGGTATTAGTGGTCCACATCCTGCCTGTTCTGCGAAATTTGCCCCACTAAGGAAAAAGTCGGCCCATTCTTGAGCAGCGTCTTGTGCTTCGTGTGCGTATTTGTATGCTTTTGCCGATCGAACAGCCGCAACTGTGTCTTTCATTCAGTACCCGATACATAGTAAAAAGGACCTTGGATGCTTACCCATTCCGCCCGTGATAACGTGGCCCGGAGGGGGAATTGCTGCCATGCCTATAGCTACGACAACATCGAGAGCTTTCAGAGCTGGACATATGACCTTCTCCAAGATCTTGCCTGCCTCGATCAGTCCCTCAATGAAGAACTCACCAGCGAATTCTAGGATGGGAAGGTCACAGGAACAATAACCTTTCTTTATCATTAGACCTGATTTGAAAATTAGTTGCTCGAATTCAGTCTGTAAGTTTGACAAACCCAGAACACAGCATACCTTTCAATGCCTCGTCGGCGCCACACAGAAGAGGTGTCATGTTGCTTGTATCGTACCAAGGATTGTCGCCAAAGATACAACTATGAGATGATACGACAGCTTGGCCTTCGCTTGCACTTTGGCTCGGAATGCAGACGTCTTTGCATTGTTCTTTGATATTCTGCTCGGTTCCGTCGGAATACTTGATGCATAGATTGTCGACTAGATACTCGTTCAACTTTGACATTACATTTGGATCGTTGGTTTCTTCCAAGCCGTATGGATTGCCATCCTCGTAGGCTTGGGGATCGCAAGTTTCAGCAAGTCCGAAAATAGCTCGTATAGCTAGCAGCGCAAGAAGACAACGCATTTTGGGAATTTCGACCTCAGATTTATCAAGGTATAAAGTGAAGTTGAGAGATGACCTGCGCATGTCTTGTTAGGACACAATCCAGCTAAATACTTGCTTCAAGTCTTCGCCGACCATAACTATGGAAATCACGCCCCCAGTCACAACTCAACTCAAGACACAGTTCGAAACAACCACACCGCAGCGCCTAACCATCAACAGTATCGATATGCTACTTAACTTGGGCCAAGCAGCCTTTGCCTCTGAGGCTTAGTCAAACACTGCCGCACTGAGCTCAGTACGTTGTGCCACTACAAAGAGCATGATGCCTAACACGAACCTCTGTGTGTCTCGGATCATGAGGGGGCCTCAGAATGCGACTCTAAACGAACAGCCTAGCCCGACTTACCTCTGCTGTGTCATTCGACGAAGCCGAGCAGATCCTGCATCCATGCCACAGTCAGGATCACCATTATGATGACTGCGTGGTCAGATGCGGAAGAACATCAGCCAAGCAAGGAAAACAGAAATATTGCTGTCACTATTCAAAGGTTCTTAGTTCCATATGAGCAAAACTGCAGCTCTGCGACGATATCACATTGCAAAATCCAGAGTGTAAGAATAAGAACAGAAATCGATTCATTTGTGAAGGGTGTGTGACAAGGTCCGAGCAAGCGCTACTATGTGTTATCTCGGGCTCGAACAGACTCTACATGGGTACAGGAACGCGCATGGCCAAGGTCTTGCATATCCGGTGGCGAGGTAATTCAGCCCCAGTTTCTGTGAGGGTTGGAGGCCGAAACTTCGCGAAGTTCTTCTGAAACAACCGCGAACGCGACCGTACTCTTGACTGTCATCTTCTCCATATTGCGGCGTTGTCGCGGCTCAACGATGGCGAGTACTATGCTCGCTTGCTACCAGCTACGCCCCAGAACGATGCAGGTGCGCATCACACGGGTGTCAGCGAACATCTGAATGGGCCTAATGCTTACATTGTAAAACATCTAGATACAAAGAATAGATTGTCGTCGCCGCCGTTCTCACTGATGAGCGAGTATGGTCGTATCACTGAGAGCGGAGAAAATCCCACGCCGCATGGAAATTTAGTCTGAAGGCTTCGGCCGCGGTATGAAGTCGTGAACTCGAGAGAGAAAAGAGAAAGCATATTCTAAGATGATATGCGAAATGCAAGTCATAAATAATGGATCTCTCAATACATGCCTACACTTTTGCTTTACAGCGACGACCAAGACATGCGACCCAATTCGTCCAGTATCTGCCCTGGGTGGCATCTGTGGATAGCATATTTCGATGCAACCTTTGTCATGTTTTCTGTGTTCTTATTGAGGGTACTTCAGATCGCGTTCGTGTGGGTATTAATAGAACGAAGATACCATTCATCTCATTTTCTAGTACGCAAACCGACATAGACCGCAGCTTAGAAGTGCTGAACAAATTGTACGTCAACACAGAGTAGGATAGGCTACGCTGAATGTGATCAAATTTGGATGCTCGGTGGTCAGGATTTCTAAAGGCACAACTGGTGCCTAATCTTGAGCCTATGATCGCCAACCTACAATAGCAAAGTAGGCAGACGGCCCGGATCATCATACCCATCATCGTAGATCCAATGACCGTGATCATGACTCCAAAAAGCATTAATGAACATCCAGTGAGGGAGATCGTCGGCATACATGTACTTCTGTTCCCAATGCTCAACCAAATCTTCACCATGCTTCTCGCGTCCAATTTGCTGGAAAAGGCTGTGCAGCTGCGCATCAGGATGCCAATCATTCATCATCCAAGTCAAAGCACGTGTCGCTGTATGAACTTGCTCTCTTTGGCTTGTCGGATCATGCTTTGCCATGTTAACACCAATATCTTCATCGGAATACTGTATACCCCATGCGAGACTTTTTCTTTGAATTCCGTCATCGTATCCCTCAGTCGGGTCCCAGAACAACGGCGACCGGATAATGGCTCTCTTCAAGGAAGGGATCTGTACTGCGGCCCTGGCGAAACCTTCCAGCAGCGGTCTGAGTCGTTGTTCATCTGGTGTGATGCGGAATTCATTGCTATGACCATTAGGTAAATCTACAAGAACAGATTGATCGTGTAATCGCCCCTCCATCTCAGCGTCGAGATCATTCGCTTCGAAAGGCGGGTAGGAGGCAGCAGTAATTGCATAACCTACAGCGTCGCGACCCTGACCTCTAGGTCCATGAAAGTACCACGATCCGTCAGGCCGTGATGGATGAAACATGACCTCTAGAATTTCCAGGTTAGGCCATGCCGGCTGTGAAGAATCGTCAATGTGAAATAAGCTTTCATCGATGATGGCCCGTATGCGGAGCTGCCGAACGTTGTTGGTTAAGAGACGAAGACTGGAGCTGAATGGGTCGTACAGCGCTGGTCTGACTAGGTCAGGTAGCATCCTGTCCTGTACAGTATGCAGTGTGCGATATAGTGGGTGGACAAAGTCTAGGTTCGCCCGTCGGAGTGAAGCTGGGAGCTGAGCTTCATGTCTGGTAACGGCGCTTGCAAAATCATGTCTTGCATCACGACGTGGACCGTCCCAATCGTGTTGAAAATGACGATTGGGTTCTTCGTCGCCACCCTGGTGGCAAAAGGGCGGGTGCCATTCGAACCCTCCGGTCTTGCAGCCCATGTACTCAAGGTTTGGGAGTCTCGATGCTAGTTTGACCATGACACCCAGATCCAGTTTCAATTCATGTCCCTCCCAGCTGCTATAGTCTGGTGGGTAATCATGAGAGTCATGACAGATGTCCATATCTTCCTTGCATACATTGTAGATCTCTAGAGAACGAACGGAATACACCAGAGGCATTTCGGTATTGAGTAGTTGAACTCGCCAGCTGCTATACTGGCGATGCGGACAAGTGATGCTGTTGTCATGGAGCAGTCTCGTAGGGCCGTGCACCAGGAGTCGATATCGTCCTGGGGCATGATGTCCAGCATTTTCCTCGACGGTTCTAAGGGTTTTATAGATAATCTGCACCTGACGTGTGAAGTGTTCATTCTTCTCTCGTATTTCATCCGCACTTTCGCGACATTCGATTTCTTCATCCTCCTCGCCGGCTGGGGGAGTCCAGACTAGTGGAGGAAGATTGGGTCGAAAGATCACTTCCCGTAGATATAGCAGACGGTGCCCTGAGAAAATCTTAACAAACTTGTCGGCATTGCGCTTGTTCAGGGTATATTCCGTAAATGCGCCGGAGTATCTTTCTGCGCTGTAGCGAAACTTCGTTGTGAGAGTGAGAAGGTTCTTGAGATCCTCCGTGGGTACATAACTAGTAATCTTCTCGACGAGTTCCTGCGGTAGTTGATCCATACCTCGCTGGTTAGCCTAATAGATCGACCGGTATTGGTGTGCTTGACGCTTTCTGGAAGGTACAGATTTGACGAGAGATCAATGTTGGCTGTGTGTCCAAGGTGTGTCTGATTCGTTGAGTGATGAGCTGTGTAGAAGCGAAGAGTAACAGAGGTTGAGTGAGGGCTGGCCCGACTTTTGTTGATCTGGGCGGCGTTGCGGCGTGGTCCTTGGAATCTATTAATGTGTACTAGCCCTATAAATGGAAACAACATTACTCGGAACGTTCCGACGCGTTCCGGGCGTTGACAGACAGGGAGAAAGACAACCTTGAAAGTACTAGATACCTTCTTCCCAGTCACCACCCGTTGTGACACCCGATTGCTGATATCGCGCTGGCACAACTTACTAAACATCTTTTGCAGACTACAAGCCGCCAGTTCTATCCCTCCAGTTCTCCAATGAATCCCCGCTGAAGGTCATCTCGAGCATCGCGATGCCAAACTCATCAACATCAGCTGGTTTCGCATAGTGAAAAAGCCTCGCACACTCGAAGCGCTGTAGGAAGGCCACATTCTTCTCCAAACACTGTCTTTCCCACTCCCCAGCGCTCGTAGCATCCCAAAGACCACTTCGATTGGTGTACATGATGCCACCAGGACAGGTTCCCCAGCGCTGCTGGAGGACCGAGAAGACAGGCGATAGACTGACGGCCACGAGCCAGGTGCGACGGATACTTTCTGACAGTATCCACGAGTACCACTGTTGCTGTAGGTAAGTAGACAGCTTGGGTAGGCAGTTGGCGAGATGAGCGATGCTGTCTTGTTCGCTCGACAATGCGGTTCTGGCAGTGGAGAAGAGTTTTCCAGCCCAGCTATCCTGTATCGCCATATGTCCTTCAGCGACATGACGGGCGCGGACGTCACCATCGAAGAGACCGATCATCTGGTAGACTAAAAGGGCATGAAGACGTGTCAGTTGCCCCCATAGATCGTCATGACGACCTGCAACATCGACCCACTTCCCTGCAGTAGTTTGATCTAAAACGGCTCCATTCTCCAGTAACAAGTCGTTCGATCGATCTTCCACTATGCGGAGGACGATTTCTGTATTCGCAGGCGTCCGATACACATAACTAGCTAGGGTGGCATACGCGACTTGTACGCATGTTGGGAAGTTCACACCGTACAAGCAGGAGTGTACAAAGGGATTGCTACCAGTTGTGACCCAGCTTTTGAACCAAGACTGCAGTACCGTCACGTACTTCTTCATTGCTGCTGTGCCGATTGGTACATCGTCTGAATTTGTCGACCTGCGGGATATCGTCCACGTCTCCGGTGCAAGAAACCAATCGGTCTTCATTGCGCTGGGGATCCGGATCTGAGACTCCGGTGCGTCGATGTTACTGCCAAGGGACGGTAATCCCACATCCCACATGAGATTATCGATGGTGTAGAGGCTCGCATTGACATGCGACGTACTGACTGGGCTTTCGGCGAACGACGTATCCTCTCCTCTCAGTACTGGCACATCCGATAACAAGTGTCGATACGAAGAAACTGTCTGCTTTTTTGATGGCGGATAGATGCACGACTTGCGCTTGTCCGCGCATCGAGCGCAAGCTGGGATCTGTCGACCGCATTTCCGCTTTGCTCTTGCGCAGGCAGTGCAAGCGTTTGACTCGGATCGCAACGACATTACCAAGGGTATGGCTACCCAGTATCTTTCTTGGAGGTTTATTAGGTCGATTCTGTCTTGTGCGGAAGTCGAGGTATAGTAAGCGCACATTTGTCATCCGCTGAGTTCATGCTCATTGGACAGACGGCCGCAAGGCGGGAGACTAGTCCGCAATGCGGCATCCTGTAAAACAAGGTTACCAATCCTCAATGACGCATATCGCATTGACTGAAGGACCAACTTACGGAAAGGATATGTATGTAACTGCAGTCAGCTTCAAGCTGCCTCACATTCGCCGAGAACCGCTCTTTGTAAGCCGCCAAGATGCCTACTGCTTCGCGACAAAGACACCACGCAAAGCCGAAGTTCTTTGCGCTGACATATCAGCGACGCAGGATTCATTACATACCTTCCACGCCGCAACATGAACCCGCAGCGGTCAGAGTCTTACCTACCTGTATTGCGGCGGACAAGTATTTGTGCGCGGGATAGCTCCAAGAAGTCCGCAAACGTGCAGTGTAGCGGATGAATCTTTGCGTTTATAAAGATGACAAGGTGAACACAATGTCTGCACCACATCTCAACCTATTTGATCCACAAGATATTCCAGACACCTCAATCGCAATATGTCAGTCTACGTAGTTACCGGTGTGTCCAAGGGAATTGGAGTAAGTATACCCTGTATGGTGATGTACTTGCATTCTGCTAAGTTTGGTCCAGTTTGAACTCCTCAAGCAAATCTCACAAGACCCGGAGAATCTCGTTGTCGGTCTGGTTCGCGACCAGGCGTCTACCAAGGAGAAAGTGATCGCAGAAATAGGCGAACGTCCAAACATCCATATCCTCAGTGGAGACCTCACCAGCCACGCTAGCCTAAAGCAAGCCGCTGCAGAGACCACCGAGATCATCGGTGAACGCGGTGTCGATTATCTCATTGGCAACGGAGCATTTCCGTCTCTCTTCGATGCTTTCGACCCCATCGGCGCGTTGTAAGCCTACATCTGTTTTCATCTCATCAGTTCGCCCATGTCTAACGCCGGTCATTCGATAGGGGCGATAAAGTCGAGGAACTAGAACAAGTCTCCTCAAAGCTGTTCATGACCAACGTTGTCGGCAATATCCATCTCTTCAACCTCTTCCTGCCTTTTGTCATGAGAGGTAAGGTGAAGAAGGTCATCGCGATCTCCAGCGGCCATGCAGATCTCGACTTCATCAACAATCTTGAAGTCGAGAACAGTTCCTTGTACGCCGCATCCAAGGCGGCCCTGAATGCAATTGTCGCCAAGTTCAACGCGCAGTATAAGAAAGACGGCGTTCTGTTCATGAGCATGAGCCCAGGCGTGGTAGAAGTAGGCCATTTTGACAATCGTAAGTAGACCGGTGAATCTAGGTGATTTCTAGTACTCATGCTGACACTGATTCGCAGTCACCCCCGACCAGATGCAAGGTCTGATGAACTTCATGGGCAAGATCTCAATCTACGCCCCTGATTTCAAAGGCGCAACGCCTGTTGAGGATGCTATTCCGATTATCAGGTCGACATGGGAGAAGGCCAGCATTGAGGATGGATACGGTGGTGCATTTGTCTCCCACCACGGAACCAAGCAGTGGCTTTAGACCAGAATACTTGTATATCATGAATGCGAGCAGGACCTGTTCACATTCCTGCTGAGCCTAGATAGTAGTGAAGAGGGTTGATCACAATCGCTGAATATTCGGAGCAAATATACTTTGGCCTAGCTGAGCATTACGTGCTTTTTCGTCATTACAGGCCGTTGACACCCAGCGACGTCCAAAGCACGTTGGAGAACGCTGAGGCATCTTTTCTCGAAGCTTAAGATATCAAGGTATCGAATGTACGGAACAAAAAGGTACACTTCTCTGGAGACATGATTCGATGACAGTCCTGCTGGTAATGCTAGTGTTGTGATCAGAGTTACGACGGTAGTCATTCCTGGAAAGCCATGGACACCATGCCAAGCCACGCTAACTCCATCGGGATGCCATTCACACGGTACCATGGAACGCAACCCACGATATATGCAAACACGTAGGGTTGCAGCAGATTTTCGCAGCTCTGCTCGCGGTCAGTGAATGCGAACATGCAGCGTGGCCTGTAGATAGACCGTGATGAACGTAAGACGATCGCGCAGGTCCCACCTATTCCCGGCGATCGCCCATTTGATTGGTCCATTTCGCTTGCAACTTCCTTGCCTCTCAACCCGCCCAAACGCATCCGCTTGTTCACGCTCGACATCGCCGCTCACCGAAACCTTTTCCATCGCCAAACAGCACCCCACGACCTCTTTTCATCACTTTCGACGCGATAAATCGCATGCCGAGGCCAGTGCGACACTTTTGACACCCATATCAGCAGTATTAAGGCGCGTTGGTGGTCGGATTAGCGCTTCTGGGAGCGTGACTCCTCTTCGCTGGGCCGCCCCCAGGCGCCAGATTTGCACCACGCCCCATACGCAGCCCAAACGACCCAAACATTTGTCACGTGCGCTTCGCTGCGACAACAAACAATGACGGCTCGCGCAACTGGGCAGCGCTTTAGGCAGCGCAAGCTTTCGACCAAACAGAATTTACCTGTCGTCCGCGAGAGTGAGGTTGAGCAGCTTGCTGATGACGATGCGTCGCGCCATATTCCCAAGGTTGAGACCGGTGTTGAGAAGGGCGAGGAGATTGTAAGTCGCGCTAGTCCGCTTTTGGCTTTCACTTCCCCTGCCCTGCACAATACACATACTTACATCATTTCTAGGAACACCATCTACAGGCCGTCATCTCCGCCGCCCAGGCAGCTGCGCAAGGCGCGACTGGTGGGAAGATTGCACAACTCTACATTCCGACTCCGGATGCTGTCGCCAGCACACTGCAATATGAAGATGTCTATCCAAAACGGTTTACACAACCTGCCACTTACATACGGTTCTCGTCAACCGTGGAGGATACGTCCGGCTGCCCGTATTGCATGAACAGTGATGATCTCGCCTTTCTCAAGTCTTACAACCAGAAAAAGGGCAAAAACAACAATTGCTCAGAAGACGAGTTCGAAGAGGTTATGAACTTTTTCGAAGAAACCACAGCAATCAAGCAGCCGTATGCCGCGGTCGACAACTCGTCTGCTCTTGCCTATGAGGAACTTGAAGCCGAGTTCGATGAGACAATCAGCGAGTCGGCGCGGCGGTTCGCCAAAGACATTTACCCACATTGGAAGAATCAACGATTACTAAAGGGCAACCGCCCGCTGATGCCCTCACTGAAATTCGAGACGAATCTCGAAACCGATGATGCTGACCCGTATGTTTGCTTCCGACGCCGTGAGGTCCGACAGGTCCGCAAGACGCGTGGTCGCGACGCGCAAGTAACGGAGAAGCTCAAGAAGCTGAGGAAGGAACTGGAGGAGGCTCGTTTGCTGATGTCGCAAGTCAAGCGACGAGAGGCAGTCATCAGAGAACAGCTTGCCACAGACAAGCTGATCTTCGAACAACGCCATGCCGTCAAGGAGCTCAAGCGCAGACTCAGTATCAAGGGTGATGATGACGAACTACTCATCACTCAGAAGGTATGTCGCAAAGAACTCACCAGAAGTTTTGTCCAGATGACTAACTCGTCCCAGCCTGCTCCTAAGCCAAAGAGAACTGCCGATGTTGAAAGACAACGTCAGACTCTACCAGGCATGAAGCCTACCAACACACGTCCAGACGGGCGTCTTGTTGATGGTGATATAGTGTACCTCGAAGAGCAGCAAGCCAAGCGCACCGAGGCCATCGATAGCTTCATCGAAGACAACCTGGTTAAGCACCAAAAGTGGAATGTGGGCTGGGTCGACGCAACATGGCGGCCCATCACGCCACCTTTGGAGCCGCCTGCTGCGAAGTCGGACTTCCGTACAGTCTTTACGGAGAGTCAGCTTCCCACGCCTCCTGCGTCCGTGTCTGATGGTGAAGGTGCTGATGCGACAGCAGTGGTGCCGTCGAGTAAGCAGACAGATCCCCGGAGAAGTGCGCGCATACGTTTTGCCACTCCTCCAGATGACGTTCCATTCCATGATCAATCTCGCTTCCGTCGTAGAATTGGTCGAGGCGGGCGTATGATGATCGATCGCCGAGGCGTGAAGCGTCAAAAGACCGAGAGGGTAGACGACCGCTTGGCCGATCGATGGCGCTTCTCCGGCGACAGCAGTGAAGACGAGGAGACATATCCCGTCGACTGGACGGACAATCTGCACATCAGGTATCGCATCATGATTGAGCGCCAGGGTGAGAAGGCTGCGGTTCAGCAGCCTCCACCAAATCCAAACCGCCGGTCCATTGAAAACCACAATCGATCTGCGTCCGGCCATCTTCTTCCTCCTACACCCACAACTGCCGCAGCTGGAGGTTCTTCCGGGAGATAAATTCCCGCAGTTTACAATCTCTTCTTCTTTTAGCGCTTTACTTATCGACAAGTTATACCCTTTGTTTTCTATTGGCTCGGTGGGCTGGCTCCAAAGATCTACCAAAGTTATGTACAGTAGCCTTTTAAATTCAGGGAGGAGGAGGCAATGCTGGATGGTTGGTGTGCGCGTGGAGTGAGGTGCGGAGGTTACC